GCCGCAGCCCTGGCCCCGCACAGCGCCCCCCGCGCTCCGGAGCGGGGCAGCAGCTCCGGGCCCCTCGCAGCGCTCCGCCCCAACCTCCCCGGGGCCTGCAGTGCCCCCTGCGTCAGGGAGGGGAATTGCAGTTTCGGCCGGGGTGGGGAACTGGGCGAGTACTTCATCCCCTTAGGGCACCATCCAGGTCCCAGCCTTCCTTCAGGGGGTACCATATCTAGAAGGCTTTAGCTTACGCTCCTGGAACACCAAAGACTTTTACTGGGGTGGGGGGCTGAGGGGCAAGGTACTTAGTGTGTGGATGTTTTGAGCTAAGAAGTTAGCGCCCCAATGCCCTATTGGTTTCCTATCCTGAAAATACGCACTATCCTTTCTGTCATTGTCATTTAAGAAACTTTCTCCTCATTGGTCCATGGGACACAGTATCTTTCTTCTCACTGGCTCATAACATGATACAACCCCCTTTTGTACTACCAGTACTTCACAGGTTCCTTTCCAATTGACCAATGTGTTACATCCATTGGATGTGAAAAATCCATTGGCTGAAGGCCAACGTACTTCCAACATCTTGGTCTTTTGACTTAAACTCATAGAGCTTCTTCTCCTTCCAAATCTGCCAGTTATTAGGTCCAGGTGTTTCTCAACTCAACTTTTAGGGAAACTGGAACAAGACCAACAGTAAAGAGATTCTTTTCTCTGATTCAATAGCACCTCATCTTACCATGGAAGTAGTGAGGCTGGGGACAAGGAAAACTCCACCATGTTTACCTGAATTCATTAATTACAGGTGTGAGAGATTAATAGCTCGTTAGAAAAGGAGTTGTACAGGAGACTGAATTTTTCTGCCTAGATTGTTTTCACACCAGACAATAGGAAACCTCAATCATTAATGTTGGTAAAGTCAGAGACTAGCAAAAGTTCCATGGTTGGTAGATGCAGAGACTGAGTATACAAACTGGAAAGATATAAGGTCTAGTAATAATCCATGATTGTTACCCTAAAAGTGGCTATTTCTTTCACTGATATGCCCTACAGACATGAAAGAGCAGTAGCTGGTTTTTTCTCCAAGTCTTAACATGCCTACCCAAGTAATGTCCATAACCCTTTTTTCATCCTTGACCTACTTTTCTTGTAGCAAAGGTTGGGGGGCAGCGGTGGGTGGCAGGTACCAACTATTAACTTTAGCAAAAGTATAAAATATCTAGGAAAGTCATTCCAGAACTAATCCTGTGGAGCATCAAGGAAACATTCCCTTGGACTCTCTTATTCCTTGGAACTTAACATTTCTTAGTGCTAACTTGAGGCCTGACTTGGAATGTTTTCCTGGGCCAAGAGACAGCTCTTAAATCACATGGCCCACAAGTTGTAGTTGGTAGGAGAGGAAACAAAGATGAATCCATACAGGACCTAGCTAGCTGCCTTGCAGCTTTTTCTAGCAAAATTCACCACTGGGATTTTCTCCCATATGGAGCTCTAATTACTGCCCTAGTGTCCAAAGCTGGCTTCTCACAGTACCAGAGACAAAAATGTGCCTAAGCTCAGGGATAGGAAGGCAAAGATGAGAAATTCATTCAACAAATATGGCAGGCATTTTTTATGTGCCAGTAACTTTTCAAAGCATTGAGGACACAACTCTGAATAAAACAAAACCCTTGCCCTCAGGGAGTTTACCTTCTTTCCTATAGTAGCAGGACTTCAGGAATGGTTGGCCTCACAGACAATAAACAGAAAAATCTAACTTAAAAAATTGAAAAGAAAGGAAAGGAGGAGAAAAGTTATTTTAGATGTTTAAACTTTACCCCTGCGCAAACAACAAGTGAGATGAAATAGCAGTTTTGAAGAAAAAAACCTATAATGCTGAGGTTCTTCAACCACAAGCCATTGCTCCCACTTCCTCGAAGCCCATCCCCTTTGTTTCCAGTGTAGGTGACAACTCCCACTCATTTTAGAGTGTATTTTTATCCTCTCAAAGGTTGCTGCTCCAGGTAGTCAAGCCAATCCTGTCCTCTTGCACACTTCATTGGTATTCAATGATGAGTGCCATCAATCTGAAGCAGGCAACTGGGACGGAGGCTAAGCAACTTGACTCTTCCTGCTGTCTGGCAAGTCAGCACCAAACCGGTTAAGAAAGGCTATGCCCTAGGGACAGAGGCTCCTGCTTGGATCTCTAAGCAACTACACATCACCCACACACATTAGAAGAATGCTAACAACATAGGAAGAAGAAAGGGTGGAATAGAAAGGTCTAAAGAGAATGAGCCATACAGCTTCTTTCAGAAAATGAACATTTCAAATTGAAGCATTAGAGAAAATACCACCTTCTAGGGCAAAAGAGCTCTGCTGGTAGGATAATTTTACAAAAGCAGTATTTTTAGGATGGAGAAATCGCCTAGATCTTTGGAATGTGAATTCTGATGACTAATTCTCCATCTCCGCAGGACATTAATGTGAAAACTTTTTAAAAAGAAAGATTCCTGGTCAAGTCTCCCATCCTGCCTTCTCCCCACTTCTCAAAGCCTACAGACCAATCTAGACAAGTCCTTGCCAGCACCAATAAGCATTCTGAGGGAGTTAGAATGTATTAATACTTGACTTCAACCTGCTGGAAGTGAGAGTAGGGAAGAGGAGACTGGTATAAGAACCAAGGAAACACAGACCAAATCAGACTGCCAGAAATAACCAAAGTTTTAGCAGAAACCTGGGCCATGGGATATGACTGCTGTGGCCATAAAAAGGCCTAGGGCCCAGATACTGCCCTAGAAGATAAAAGGCCCAGCCATGCCCTAGAGGGGCTGGAAGAGGTAGGTGGCCTTCTCCCTGTTTACTCCTTGCCTTTCTTTGTAGAGAAGGGAAGACACTGTAGTACACAAGGTTGCTTGGGAAAATGGATTATTCTAATAAAACTTTATTTTTTCAAACACAGCCACAGAGGCAGGACCTCATGTTTAACACACACACAGACTTATGGATTTTTTTTTAATATAAAACAAAGTTTACGAAAAATTTTTTTCCACTTTTTGTATTTGTAATCCCATTAGCACAGGGACTTTGGCAGCAGGTGGGAGTGAAGGGCAGCTGGAGCTGCCACTGGGCAGTCACCGGGCACAAGAGGAGAGCACCAGCCTGGGAGTGGCTTCACTCACACACGCAGGAATACTCACCTACTGGTCAGCCACACCACACACACAACACAGATGCAGATGTCTACCCAGCGTCAACCACAGCCCTGCAGAGGTGCACTCCACTCTGGGTAAGCCCAATATGTGAAAATCCAAATAGTCAAACAGCTAAAGTAGAGGGAGGTTGCTTGCTTTACAAAAGAAGCAATCACAGGCTGCTTTTAAATGGTCAGCAGTCCAAATGCATTGAAAAATAGCATTTGGTTTACACAGAACTGTTGGAACAGATCTATTGTGTAAAGCAAAATGAACCACTTCTCAAAAAGGCTTGTCTCAGGGCCACGGGTGCTTAGATTGAGAAGCAAGATGATAGTTCCAGCTAGTTTAATTTTCCAGATCTTAAAAGTAATGGAATTCAAATATGGTATCTTTAGACCTTCTCCCCTAAGGATGGTGCCCTAGGGCTTTGGGGAAGCCAGGATGGAAGTGGAACTACTGCCCTCACTTCTTCAGCTTAGGGCCTGCAGAGACCCCATTGGTATTGTCAGTGGCCTATTGGAAGCTGGCACAGTCCATCTGAAACAAAGTGCCCAGGGATGTGAATGCCCCAGGAGGAAATGAAGCTGGCACCAGGGAACTTATGGCCTAAAGAGGGAGAAGAGCCAGGGGAGGGATGAAATCAAGAATGGGCACCTCCTGGGCTCACAGTTTCCCTGAGAGCCTCTCTCAGGCCTCTATAGACCTGGTAGCTCACTGGTAATACAGGATAACTAGCAGAAGGAGAGGAGCCTTGGAAGGGTAGAACTTCTGAAGGCCAGAGGCTTGAGAAGAAATGGCCACCTCCTTGCCTAGAGGCAAGGAGGCTGGAACCTGGTTGATCCTTCTACCCGACATGTGGGAGACCCAGAAAATGATAGGTTCAATTCCACAAGGAAGAAAACATAGACTTGGTCTCCTCTAACATGAGAAATTGGGTCCCAATACACCCTGAAATTAAAGAGAAAATGCCCTTCTTCCAATAAATAGGAAGGGCAGGCCCAATTTGTTTATGCAGGGTCTAACCAAAGCTGGCAAAGCCTCACAAGCTATTGTGGCAGCTTCAGTATGCATCTCCACTGGTGCCAGCCCTACCAAGGCTCCCGCAGTCCTTAAACCTATCACTGTGGCCACTGGGACCTGCTGCCCTGACTCAAGTTGTGGGTAAGAAACAAAAAAGGAAATTCAATCCAACAACAACAAACTCCCAGCTGCTTCTCACAGCCTTTGCTTTACACATCCTCAGCCAATCCCTCAGTGAGCCCCGACCTCCCTGAGGTCTCTGAGGGCCAATTAGAGGCAAATAAACATTTCCTGGCAGGAGTGGAAGACAAGCAAACTAGTAAATGCTGACATCCCCTTCTTTTCTCAAGCAGGTCAGAAAAGACTGGGCCCAGATCTTAAAACGACAGGTTTCTCTACAGTCTGCTTCCAAAGAGCAGTGCTGGGATGAGCTCACCCATGCCTGCTGGGTACTAAATGTCACCGCTCCTGCTGCCTCAATAGATGCTGGGGACCAATTAGGGGCCTTCTTTCCTTGTTCTTGACCCTCGAAGGTCAGCGTGTGAGGGAGAAAAGGTCCCATCAGTAAAGAAGGAAAGAGATGGAGCTCTCAACCCTGCCTCAGTTACCCACCTGTGTTTGCATCTATTTAGAGAGGCAGGTTGTATACAGCCTAGGCAATCTAATAAGAAAAAAAGCCAGCTCAGAATCAATGTGGAGAGCCATCTCCAGCCCCAATACTAAGTCTATCTAGGGGAGGGGGGTGGGCCTGAGGAAAAGACCATTAGCTGAGGTCACAGCACTTAAAAGACCCTGCGGGACCCCCCAAACGGAATCCTTTGCAGAGCCAGTGGTGCTTATGGATTACAAGCCTGGTTCCAGAGCTACTTAGAAAAAAGGAAAACTTGGTACCCTCCTTCTGACGCCTTGAACAAGCCCACCGTCTTGTGAAAACTTAAGATCCTGGGGGTATCATGATGCTCCGCTATTAAGGAGCAACTGCTTTCCTTCCCTAAGGCTTCACAAACATATCTTTCCTCGAGTATACTCCCATGCACACACACACTCTCACACAATTTCTCTGAGGAGGCTGAATGAACCCCCCACCCTGGCCAAATTCTAAGACACAAGTGCCCTTTGAAGCAAAGGGGCTAGTGAAATTCCCCGAGCTGGGGTCAGCAGACCCCTTCCTTCCCTGCCCACTGTTTTCTCGGTGGCAGGGATACTCACACTCAGGGCCGCCATGGGAAGGGTCTGCTCTGGGGATGTCCCTCCCGCCACCAGCTCCGTTTATCTTGTCCCGGCCAGTCTCTCGGCATGGTCGAGCTTCCTGGAGCGAGAAGATTTCCGGCTGCCCTGAGTCGGAGCCCTCCACTCAACCCCATTCCCAGGTTGGGCCCCTGGTCTTGGGGCCTCAACACTTGTTAGTAGCCATAAGAGAGTCAGTCTGTGTGGCCCCAGGAAGTAGCCTCTCAGTTTTAGTTCTCCTCAATCAGATTCAAGTCCAGGTCCCCAAAGTCCTGCTGGCACAGTGTCCGCTTGCTCAGTGCCTGCCGCCCCCACCGTACGGCCCCCTCCTCCTCCTCTTCGCTTTCACTCAGCACCTGGGAGGAACCCCCAATGGGGCTGCAGGAAGCAGAGAGGGGTGGAGGGCTACAGGCCATGAACCACGGTGGAGAGATGCTGCTGCCTTCCCGGGCTATTTCTTGGAGACAGACACCTCCTGAGTATGGTTTCTGTCAAACAAACAACAAAGTTAAGAAGGCAAAGGAAGATACTAAATCCCAGAGCACCCTGGCCCAAGCTGTATTTCAGTATCCTTCTTAGTTACCCTGCCTTAGTTACCTAAGGCAGCAATCTTAGGCTTTAGGGTGAGGTTTTTTGAACTCTCTGAGAAATTTTGGAAAATTTAGTGTACATTTCCTTGAGGAAAGAGCTCATAGTTTTTATCAGATTCAAGATTAGAAGCTCATTTTTAAGCTTCATGTATGGGCGGGAATATTATCTGCCTGTTTCACTACTGTACAAGAGCCTAGTCAGAGCCTGGTACATAGCAGGTACTCGATAAATTTTGGCTGACTGGTTTGATGAATGACTCTATGAATGAGCGCAAAAGTTCTCAAAGAGGTTTATGACCCAGTGGTCTAGAAGGAAGAATATAAAAAAGTGGGCAAGTGCATATGACAACTGCACTCACACTAGGAAGTCAAAAAACGTTTGCTGAACAGATGAATATTGCAGCAACCTGTTTCAAGCTCTCACAGATGCACTTAAAGCAGTGAAGGGCAAGTGGCAAAACCAGCCTTGAGCAAACGGAGGGGACGGGGCACTGATGATGGCCCTTTTGTGGCTTATGCATTCTCATAGAGGAGGGAAAATATCTCTAGTAGGACAATCTGGGATCCCTGTTGGAAGGTTTAACAAGTTTCACCCCAGTTTCTCTGGAATCCCTAGAGAACTGAAGAGTTTCATAAGACACAAGACTTTCAGTGCTAAAACTGGGCCAGTCCTGGTCAAACTGGGATGATAGATCACCCTAGTGAAAGCTCAGGCAGAAAGAAACTCCAGGGGAGACCCTGCTAGGAAGGCATGGAACTAGGACTGCTCAAAAGTGAAAGGTGGAATGGAAACCCTCTACTTCCACCCAAGCTTCCCTAGTCCTGCTGATCTCACCTGATTCATCTTGTCAAAGTCCAAGGAAGGCCGCAGCCGCCGGGGGTCCTCCTCATGGCGCCGCTTGACTCCAGCTTTGCGGGCATCCAGATCACAAGGCTGTGAGCGGCTTCGAGGAAGGTTGCGGAGGCCTCGAGGTCGCCAGGGCAGCTCAGGGGAAGATGCGGGGGAGCTCCGGGCAGAGGGCAAGAAGCGGCTTGCCTGTGGGCCCAGGCTGGGTGACAGGGAAAAGCGGCGCTGGGGTGGACAAGGTGACAGGGACTCAGCATCACTCTCCCAGGAGCCACTTTGGGGGGAGGCAGCGCAGGGTCGAGGGGAATCTTGGGCCAGGGCCAGGCTGAAGAAAGGGGGGCTGTAGGGTCTGTGGGCTGGGGCACATTGAGAAGAGGCACTGGGAGCTTGGAGGAACCTGAGGCTGGAGACCCGCTTCGGGGGGCTCTGGTGAGGCACCTGCGGCCCACCCCCTCCACCACTGCCCCGGTGCTTGATGGGAGTCCACAGCTTGGAGGGGGCAGGCCGCCACACCGGCTGCCAGCGAGACAGGTCCACGGGCACTGAAAGTGAGCGGCAGTGCCTCTTGGATGGAGGGGCAGGGAGCACAGGAAGTTTCTCTGGGTCTGGGGGCTCAGGGCTTAGGATTTGGGAGAGGGGCTGCTCTGGTGGGGAACTTCCCCGGCTGGGTGGTCTGAGGTGCAGGCTCAAGCCTGAGGGATGGTAGCTGAGGTTGAGGCTGTCCTGGAACTTGGCACAGGAACAGCGGGGCAGGCCCCTCCAGGAAGCACCTTCTGGAAGGCATTCATAATAAACATAATATTAATGATAGCTAATATATTTTTAAGAGCTTACTATGTGTCTCGCAATGTAATGAGCACTTTATGTGAGGTTTCCCCAAAACCTTACAAGGTAGGTACTATTATTTTCCCATTTCACAGAGAGAAGTCTAGTAACTTGCCCCAAATCATGTAGCAATCACATGAGCAAAGCAGGATTGAAACCCAGGTCCGTCTGATGCTAAGGCTCGGCATTTTAACCACTATGCTATTTTGCATCCATTATGAGGACCACGTGAAATCAAAAATATAAACTCATATACTGCCTGCCACTCCCTCTCAAAGGTAAAATGAGAGACACAAACCAGGTGTGCTCATCCTGCACTCCACTGAACCTAGCCCTACTTTACTTCCCAATACCCTCAGCCCCGAGCTGTGAAAAGTAAGCCTATGCTCTCCTTCCTTAGCCTTTCTCTCTCCCATAGGTCAGTAACACCAAAACAGGAGTTAAGGGCTGCCAAGGAGTTAAGGGATAATCACAGCAGGTAAGAGATTACTTTTATTCCTAAGGAGGGCAAACAGTGTGGAAGGCCTTTTGACAGTGGAACCATGCCTGGAAACCTTAAGACTTTATGTCACCCATGTTTCTGTGTCTAGCCACCCACGTTCATTGATTCCATTTCCCTAGGCCTGCATCTCAAACAGACTGGAGGGACTGATAAGTGGAAGGGAAAATGAACTAAAAAGAACGGTCCTCACTGCATTCTAACAAAAACTCTGACTTTTTGATAGCAGCTCGTTAAGGGACAAAGCCTACTCCAAGCTTCTCTGGTTAGCTGGCTAGAATTCTGCAGGGGCTAGACATTTGGAGCAACCGGTAAGTATATGAAGTCAGACTTGATGATGGAGAAAAACCACACCTGACATTTTTGGTCAACAGTTCTGCCCCAGTGAAGACAGGGACCATGTGTCCCATTCTGTACTTAAAGTACAATATCTGGCTTTCAACAAGTATTTAATAAATCAGAGGAAGAGACTGAATGAAGATGCTTTTTGCCAACATCTTTCTCTTGCCAGGTATCCCAGAAAAGAAAATGAGCTGCACAGCAGCCTAGCAGCATGGGTTAGAGTTCTGGCTGTACACTAGTGAAGCCTCCATCCAAATGCCCCCCACGATCACAGACTCTTTGATTAAGTAACTCATAATCTAGGAATTTATACCTCAGATATATTTTCACACGTGCGAAATGACAATAGTACAAGGTTATTCATCATAGTTTTGTTTGTCATAACAAAAGATGGGAAATAACCTAATGCACATCAATAGAAAATTGGTTAAATAAACTATGGTACATCCCTACAGTATAATAATATGCAGCTATATAAAACAAGGAAATGCTCAACATAACATACTGATACGTAAAATGAAGACAAGTGCCCCTATCTCAGAAGGTGACCCTGGCAAAAAAGTTGTGAAGGTAGGCTACCTAGTTCTGGACACTAGAAACCAATGAAAGAAATATGTGGATGGAGGTATGAGCATACACACATATGCACAAATATACACACACAATACCTTACCAGGCACAAGCTGGAAAGGGTTCCCACAGTTGGAGATGTCTGCATGATCAGGCAAAGGCTAAGAAAGAGAGAATATCCACCATGATTCAGGCTTGGAACACAGATTTCCAGGAAGCCCTGTTCAGCTCACCCTTGCAATTCCTGGGCTATTGGGATGTTAGGGACTCTTAAATGTTCTCTTCTTGTCTTCCCGAAGTTAGTAAAATAATCCACATCTTCCAACATCTCAAACCCTTCTCCACCCAAGTTCTTGTGTCCCTTCTCTATCATGGAAAAATCCCTGCCCCCTTCCTTTTGGGCTGGGATTTGAGCTTTTGGTGGGCTCTTCCAGTATAAGTACCATGACTCACATAGCACAAGACAAGGGTGAAGTAGTAGCAACAAACAGCCTCAGAAAAAAGGGAGAGGGGTCGTGGAGAAGCAGGAAGACTGGTCTTTTACCAAACTGATGCTGAAGCGTGTGCATTTCAGCTCATCCAGAGTCTGCTTCTGTAGCTGCTCAGTGATCAAGGTTATCATGATTCTCCCCAGGATTTGACTTGCACACTTTGGAGCAAATGATGGATGTCTTCCCTGTCGTTCTTCCAGACCTCACTCGTGAGCCGTCTTCTGCCACTGCAGCACCATTCTAGCACCATTGGGACTTCCCTCTCCAGTCATGCCTGCTGAGTCTGCCAATTACAGAGGGACCAGCCCCAAGTGATATTAGAGATGCACCTGGTCCTAAAGTGGAAAATGTATGGCACACATACCACAACATCCCTATGCCAGGCCTCTGGCAGACATCATTAATTGATCACAGCTCTTTCCTACTAAGCTAAACATAGCCTCAGAAACATTCTAAACCTGGCACTTCAGATATCCAGTAAAATGAACTGGAGTTGGCAAGCAAATTAAAATCTATTTGCCACTCCTAACCTGGTTCATGCTCTGCTGTCTATCCAGAATACCAACACCACTTAGAAAACAGCTTATGAGAGAAAGGGATGCCCAAATGGTTACTTCCATCCTGATTAGTCCAATATTTTTATTTTCCAGTCAGAAGCAATTCTAAACTACAGAAACAGGGAGGAGCAGTGGTTGTAGGAATGACTTTCTGCTTCACACCAGAGTAAACTAGGTTTTAAGTTCTTCCTTAGCCTGACCAGATGATATATTAGTTTTCCAACAGATATTATATACATTCTCTTATAAAATGAAAAGAGGATAAGGAAACGGTACCAGGGTAATTCCAATTACATATCAACTTCACAGATGTTAAATATAACAACTCTATGACTTCATTCAACTAAGTTTTGAGCCTGATCTGACTCAAAGACCATAAATACAATTTATCAAGCTTCTTTCTCAGGTCAATTTTGGTAGAAGCAAATAATTCTATCAGAGAACAGGCTTCAAGCCCACACAATTGCCTGAGGGGCCTTACTCAAGGGAGGAGAGGATGTTAACCTAATGTCGCCATCCTATTCTGCCTATTCCCAGAAATGACCAGCAGGCAGACAGTTCACTAAAGGGTATGTGTAGTATTCAGTAGTAGAGAGAACTATCAAGAAATCTAAATCTTGGTCTAATCTGTTATGGCAGTTTTGGCAAATCATTCAACATTTCTCGGTCTCAGTTTACCCATAACAGGCAGAATAATCTTAATTTGTCACAGGAACAATATAACACAAAATATCAAAATGTGAAAAGCATACCATTTGGTCTGTACAAACCAGGAGTCCATATAGGCTGCTGTTTCTCACCCCTCCCATTTGTTGCTCTACAAAGCCTCAGAAGGCCACAAGTGATATCATTAAGACAAAGGCGGCGATCGGGTCTATCTATCTGGTTGTATGCCAACCTCGGTCACCTGCATACCAAGAGAAGCCCAAAAGGGCCCTACTGTGACTTTGGGGGCAGATCATTTTCAACTTTTGCAAAAAAAAAACAAAAACAGGGAATCATCTCTACCCCATCATACCTTAGAGGGAGGCAGGACATAGGAAAAAGCCAAGAAATACATAAGGATGTACTTTGGGGAAGAAACGTGTGGGAGAAGTCAATCATCATTATAGTTAACTATCATTTTCATGCATAATTATTACAACCCTGAACCAAGTTCCAGCTTCCTGAGAGCTTCCTTTAGCTGCTTCCCCTATGTTCTTGTGGGAGAAGCTAAAGCTTGTAACACTTCTGCTCTTGGTTTCTTAACTCTGTCCTCAAAGATCAACCAGAGAGGGAACCTAACTGCAGGCTTTTACCCCAGAGACCCCAGGCCTCAGGCTGACCAGCCATGAAGAGCAGAGAGTGAAGCAAAACTCATTCAAGCTTTTCATGAGGCATTTGGCTAAAGAGCAAACTCCCAGCCCTCTCTGGGATCAAATGAAGAGTGATTTCGTGTTTTTCTGCATTTTAATTGTTAAGATGTGGCCACACACGGCGGTAATTGGAACAATGCAACTACCACCATGCAACTGATACTCTCAGCCTGAGTTTTGTAAAACAGGCCAGGCTGAGAGGGGGAACAGAACGGAAGCCATAAGGAATCAAACCAGGACACAAAAGAAGGCAAACCAGCTCCGCGAGGGGCCTCCTCTTTCTTAGGCAGGCATAGAAAAAAGTGTAAGAAGCCCTCTCTTGCAGCCTTCTTTCCTCTTCCATTTTGTATATCTGAGGGACAGAGTCGGCCCTGAACGTTCACTAAACAAGTTAAAACTTCTTAGCTTAACAACTGGCAAGGGAGAACTCAACCCTTTACAGAGCAGCAGGCCGCTAGGCCCTCCCCACAACCCCACCAGGCCCAACTCTCAATCCAGGCTTTCCCTCCACTATCGGCCCCCTAAAATAAAGGTTGGACCCTCACCCCATCTATTGGATGGTAGTAACCCCTGACACTCGGGTTTCAGGGATGCTGAGGTTGTGCTGAAACCTGGAGAACCTAGGATCATATCAGGCCAAGGGAGAGGAGAGTCACAAATCCCCTGGGGACCTGCCCCCAGGTCCCAGCCCCACACCTCTGGGGAAAACTGAAGGAAAACAGTAGGGAAGAGGGAGGTACATGAACAGGTA